CATGGATCGGCTTCAGTTAGCAGCAGTAGCGAAGGAATCACTCGGGTTCAGTAACGTAGCTAGTGCAATTGCTCGGGTTCAGTTAGAGCCCAACGCCTCGCACACACGCGCGTGCGTGTACGAGAGAAACGCGCATTTCTCAGTCTCCGACCACCCACCGTAACCGGGAACTCCCCAAAAATTTCCTCACCCTCGCTTCTACCATAGTTTTTTCCATCATGGACGGCCCAAAGAATGTCATGCAGTTGCGTCTCCGGCCAGCCCAGGACGAAAAGCCCATTTTCTGTCATGATTTTTGGTCATAGAAGTAGGAGCCCACCACATCTATGATGATACCAGGTTTTGTCACAATTATCATCACAGAAGTGTCATAAGTATAACAGGAAAAAAATTCGTTCAGCCCAAAATGTCACGGATGTGTCTTTTTTTGTAGTGTTGTGTGGAGTAATAGTAGTAGATGTAGTATCGTTTCGGTCTACTTGTCACGGATGTGATGCCTATATTCATGATCATTGCCTTAGATATCATCATAACTATGCGCTTTTCTATCAATTGATCAACAAAAATTTGTTCACCCACCGTATGTTTTCTTTCAAGAGAGAAGCCTCTAGTGAAACCTATGGCCCCCGGATCTATTTTCCATCGTATATTTTCAGATCTATAAAACCAAAAACCCAAAAATACCTTGCTGCAATTTATTTACCTTTACTTTATTTTGCCTTTTATTTATCTTTTATATCTATCTCTATTAGATATCACTCTTGCAAGTGACCGTGAAGGGATTGACAACCCCTTTTCACGTTGTGTGCAATTGTTTGTTAGTTTCTGCAGGTGCATCTATTGGAGACTTGCTTGTTCCTCCTACTGGATTGATACCTTGGTTCTTAACTGAGGGAAATACTTATCTCTACTTTATTGCATCACCCTTTCCTCTTCAAGGGAAATAACAACGCAAGCTCAAGAAGTAGCACGACTCACCATCCCCGTCTCCAAAAGATTGAGGGGCAGGAGGAAATGACAACCTCGATCGTGCTATAGCCCACCCGGCTCCAAGAGGGAGGTTCTCGGCTCCGAGTTTGCCTCTGTCGCTGTGTGTGTCGCACTATCGGCAAAATCTTGGGTCATCTAAAATTTAACAATGCTAACCATAAATACACATATTATCTATTAAGTGGCCTCTATATTAGTCCATGCTTGCATGGTCTGGGAACCGTACGATATGAGAGCATGAGCAGTGTAACCAATTATCGAGTCTTCAGTGTTTCCTCCCCTATCCCATGGCCTTTAGGGAAAACTTTCCCCTCCATACTCTCGTGGATTCGCCTCCCCTCTAGCTACCTGCCACTCGGTTGGCCGGTGGCGAAGAGGGGAAACTCGGTGCCTCTGCACCATTTGGTAGTTTGCGTTAGGGGTTTTTACTCCTCGCAAGTGTGACGCTCGAGCGGATGGCAACAATTCTTCTTCGAGTTGTCTTCTAGGCTCTGATCCTCCTCGAGTTCGTCCGGCTAGACGTAGTAGACGGAGCTCCATCGTAGAATCATGACGTCTACTTGGGACGATGAGGTTAGGTTTCTCGTCGTGTGGCGATATTTGGTGTCAGATGCTTCAGATCTATTCAAAGGTTCAACGGCGATGATTGCGACTCCAGGGCGCTGGTCCTTAGAGCCATATGCACAAAGACTTCCTAACTATTATCGACAAGGTTAAGCCGGCTCCGGTTAGCGAGGGTGACAGCAATACGTCATCGGCTTGTTCTGGCGGCGGTAGTGGTCATTCGGTTGTCTCGAAATCTTTGATGTAATTTTGTCATGTTTGAGGTGCTTTGTACTGCGGGTAATTTTTCATTCTCTTCACTGTGTATCACTCATTTGTCTCTCGAACACGGCCATGCACAACACATGTCCACATCTTTCAAATTCTTGTACCATGACGTGCCAACTAGATCAGAGCATCTACAACCGGACCTAGCAAATTTGGGGCCCTAAAAGTCCTCGGACGCAGCCGAGCATGTCCACGAATAATGACCGGTCATCCTGAAAATGTCCGCGTCCACGACTGGGTACCTCATTAGCAAATCCTCAAATCCATACAATGCCATGCAATGTAAAATAAACACAGGTATTTCCTCTAGGTCACACACATAGCATATGGCTAGTTCATCATACATGCCACCGACTATCATAAATTGGCATGTTATATATACTAGAGCTATGGAGAAAGTTCACCCACACCTGCCCTTACCCTTGCCCTTGTCGTCTTTGTGGCACAAGTAGTGACCAAGGACGCATAGTCGGATCTACTCACTATCGGAGTTGTCTGATCCATCACCGACCTCCTCCTCTTTGGGGCAGTCCGGCGAGGGCACAAACCACTAGAGTTTGCTCCTTTTTCCAAGGGCACGCGCCATTCGGACTTGCCACTTTACGAGGATGCGGGCCTTGAGGGCATCCTCGGTTCTATCCGACGCGGCATGCGACTCTGCCTTCGTTGTTTGTCGCACCCTCTCCCTCACTTGGCGGGCATATCGGTCCTGGGCGCATCCATGAGTGGGCTATCTACTAGCATTGCCCTTCGACTCGAAGGCCAATGTCATGGGGACGAGGCTCCACCAGAGGGGTTGCGTCGCCAGTCGGGGTCGCCCTGTTGGGCGTGGCGATCCGCCATAGTCCCGCGCCTCGAGCTACCGGCGTGGGCTGATTCCCGTTGTAGCAACTCGGCCCGCGATGCTCGGGCTGATTCCTCCCGAGAGCGGCGGAGAGGCAGGCGGACAACCAGCTCCTGCGGGGAGGAGGTCCGAGTCGACGAACTCGGAGTTGTTAGAATGATATCCGATGGTCGCCATGTCAGAGGAGGCCAGAGATCGCCGCAGAATAGCTGGGGAAGGACGGGGCGATGTGGACTCGAAGTGAAATGGAGTGGCAAGTGGCTAGGGTTACGTCCGGATGTGGATAGCGTGGGATATTTGTGGGGTCGGGGTGGACCAACATGGGCCGGATCCGACATGGCGGACACGTCTAGGCCTCCCCACAATAGCCCCGGATATGAACTGGGTATGAGGGGTGTCAGTCAACCAATGTGTAGACCAATATGAGAGGTATGGCTGGGTCACAGTTTTTTGACCGGTCACTACGAGGCCATCGGTGCAGGGCAATATAGAAGGTTCGGCTGCAACTCTAACTTGTGCACTTCCAAGTGGCCAAAGAAGAGACACTTGAAAGTCTATACAGATGTCACATGTACTAGGACTATACACCTAGCCATCTGTCGGGCCGGGCCGTGCCTCAGGTCAGGCCTAACAAAGCCCGATGCAAAAAAAGTAGGCCCAAGCCCGGCCCATCAACAAAAAACCCACAGCCTTTTCAGTAAATTGCAAATGTGGCGGGCCTAGGCCCGGCCCGGCCTGACCTTCGGGTTCAAAACCTAGGCCCAAGGCCAGGTCGGGCTTTTTCGGGCCGGGTATAGCAAGGACCATGTTGCATGGGTACCTTTCTCTTAAGCAGTTTCAATCAATCGCTATTGCCATCGTACAATCACAGCACGCGAGGGAGAAAACGTGCCGGGAATAGCACACCCTGGACCCGGAAGAGACTTTCGCCGACACCTAAATAGTTGCATAGCTCAGCTCTGTTTCATGACAAATAAAGGGGTAACTCGATGGACCAGCCACACAAACAAACAATCGTGTGTTGCTGTGCAAGCAGATGTACTCGGTTATAGGTTTTGAATAGCAAATTAGCTACAACGCTGCATCAAGAATCTTCAAATATTGCCAGAAAATACTGCAGCTTGCAGTAGAAATCCACGAACAATACTGCAAAGGGTATCCAAAACTGTAATATAACCAAGTACTCAGGTCAAACCGTCAAACACAAAGTAATAGCATACGGGTAACGAGACCCAGATCCACCCTCGGAACAAGAAAATGGACGGAAATCTCTAGCTTAATTCAGTAACCACGGGCTTAGCATACTGCGCAGGCTTGACTGAACACTCATCACCATCTGTCCTCCAAAAAAAGGCCTCGGCCATTTCACTTTGATGGCTGCTTCTCCTTGGTCTTCTGGATCTTCAAAACCTTCTTCACAATCTTTTGCTCTTCGACAAGGAAAGCACGGATGATCCTGTAACAAACATGTTAGATAACAGACGATAGAGAACGATAACCCAAGCAGTTACAACAAGATGTACTAACCTCTCCCTAACAGCCTGACCAGATAGAACACCACCATAAGGACGGTTCACTGTTCTCCTGTTCCTGGATAATCTTGATCTTTTGTACTCAGTAGGCCTTAGATGAGGTATCTACAACAAGTAAAATAAATATTGTTACAGCTTACAATGTCAAACCACTGATATTATACAACATGAAGCAAACTTAACCATCTGTTAAATAGATTGAACAAATATTTTCTAAGGATCCTATTTCCATGTGAATTACATAAACATAAAAGGGGACTAAATAAGCATACAATGGAGATTTCATCCACAAAAACAGTAGTTTTATTTAAACTCCCAACCAGCAAGTCCACTTGTTCTTTTACTCGTTTTATTTAAACTCACTTAGTCCACTAGTAAATCATGGACAGCAATAAACCATAATATATCAAAGGCCCATTAACATGAAAATTAACCAACTAGCATTAGTCACAGATTCTACGGTTTTTAGGCATTACAAAACAGATTGTTTATGCTCGCCTGCGATGGTGATAAATTGCAACTATACCCAATGTTGCAATTAAATTCGTTCATTTGTAATAGTAGCAATCTTCGCAGCAAAATTTTCAACATTCACACTCACCCTACAACGCACAGATAGTTGCAATGGCACCACTGTTGTATGTAATCAGTTTTGGGTTCAAACTAACCTATTAATAATTATTTCAGTAAAATTACTTTAAGTCCACTAGCAAACGCTGCAATAAGACATACTTAGAACATGTAGCTGATGAAGCCTAAATAGATCACTACCAGAATTGATGTTCAACATCACCAATGTGTATACATGCAACATCAAATAGATACCACAGTTAACAAAATAAAACTACCATCGCCACGCCATGAGCGAACCATCAGAAATGAAAATTAGGCAACTAATATATCGCCAAAAGTGCTGCAAACGAAGATGAAACTACAATAGGCAACTCTATTCACGCTCACGCCAATGGTTCGGGAAGGGGTGAGACGCAATCGCTTACCCCCTGGATCTTCTTGCCGGTGACCGGACATTTCGGCCCGCTCGCCCTTTTCTTGGTGTACTGGTACACAAGCCTCCCTCCTGCACCAATCACACAGCACGCATCATCGCACGCGAGTTCACCGCACGGACTGCCCAAGGACTCGAATCGCAGCCTGGGAATCTGCCAGAAAGAACCCGTGGAGAACGCAGATCTCACCTGGGGTTTTGACGACCCTGGTCTGGTTGGACTTGGTGGCGTAGCTGTGCCGCTTCCGGTACGTCAGGCGCTGCACCATGGTGTCGACCTCGCTGTCGCTCGCTTCTCTCTGCGGGGGCGGGGGCGGCGGCGGCGGCGGCGGCTAAAACCCTGGACGAGCAAAAATTGTGGGATGGTTCGAGGAGCGCATAAAAGGGAGGATGCGGGATATCTAACCTACATCGGACGGCTTCAGAGGCCTCGATGTAACGAGAACGGTTAGGATGGCTTGTAGAGGTGGAACTGACTTTTCTCCTTGACGGTCGTTCCTTTTTTTCTCTCAAACCCATTTTCTACGGGGATTCGCTTTTGTTCGTTAGAAAAGCAACATTAATGAAATATCCAATGATAGGCTTATTACGCTTGTATATGAAGTGCATCATCTCCAACGACCCGTAAAATTCGTTCTGCGTTCATCTATGGACAGGATCAGACTGTGAATACAGATGCAGGATGCCGCCATCCAACACTATTCGGTATATGTTCGCTAGTAAATTTAAATTCAAATGTACTCCGATCCATACAACGCGTCGGATCACACCAGCACCGGATCGCATGCCCGATCAATACTAAAAAGAGGCAAGTATGTTACCCGCAAAAAAAAGGCAAGTATGCTTAGTTTTTACATGCCCGAATCCAAAAAAAACATAAGTCTAGCAGTCCGCGCATTTCTGCCCAGCCGGACAGGCAATCCCAGCCGTCTGCTTCCGGATTAAGGTGGTGTCGTCGTCGCCGCATAGGCAACCTTCGCGTCCGGGTACGCCTCCGTCGCATCCTCGTCGTCCGCCGACGCCAACTGATCTTTCTGTCGCTGCAACATCTGGTAGCGGACGGATTGCACGAGATTCTTGCGTCGACATCCAAAGCGTCCACATTCACGGTAAAAATCTTGTACTCCTCCGCATTGGTGGTGATCTTCACCTTCTTTTCCTCGAGCGTGACCTTCCTCTCTTTGATCATGGTCCTCCACTCTTCGAGTTTGAGCTTCTTGCCCGTCGCCTCCATCAACAGTTTGAATCTCTTCGTCTTCTTCTCCTCCTTGATGTCTAAGCACTTCACGCATGGCTCCTCCTTCTTCGCCAAGATGTCCAAGAACATATGGGTGTGGATAAATCTAGTATTTTTTTTCAGCCCTAGCACAGATGTAAACACCAAGGCCCAAGTGTGCACTACTCTGAATATTATGACGGAGGCTCTGAATGACACATATTTGGGATTGCCCACTACACTAGGACTAGACAAAACAGATAGTTTTCAATACTTGGTTGATCGGTTAATTGTGAAACTTACAGGATGGAAGGAGAAGTGTTTGTCTTCGGGAGATAAGGAAGTGCTTATCAAATCTGTTGCACAAGCCATACCAACGTATGTGATGTCGGTCTTCAAAATTCCTAAGAAAATCTGCAAAGGAATTACGGATGCGATCTCTAGTTATTGATGGGGCGATGATGCATCACATAAGAGAATGCACTAGTTTGCCTGGTGGAAGATGTGTCTACCAAAGAGTAGAGGAGGCATGGGGTTCAGAGACATTCATTGCTTTAATTTGGCACTGCTAGCAAAACAAGCATGGTGACTTATTGAAGATCCTGAATCCCTCTGTGCAAAGATTCTTAAAGCAAAATATTATCCTGATGTTGAGCTTATGAATGCTAGTCTGAAAAAGAAGGCCTCTCATACATGGCAAAGTATAATGGCAGGTGTGGAGACCTTGAAACAAGGACATATTTGGAGGGTGGGAGATGGTCAAAAAATAAAAATATGGGAAGATAGTTGGATCCCACAATCTCCCACCAGGAAGGTTATCTCTAGTAGAGGGAATCACCTCCTCTCTCGAGTGTCAGATCTTATAGATCCAGTGTCAGGTGAATGGGATTCAGAGCTGATAAACCAAACATTTTGCAGTGTTGATGTTCAGAGAATTCTTGCAATTCCACTACCAATATATGAAATAACAGACTTTTTAGCTTGGAGTTTCACTAAAACAGGTGGGTTCACCATAAGATCAACATATCACGTCGTCTGGGAGTCAAGGTTCGGCCATAATCTGCAAGGTACAGCGAGTTCTTCCTCGCCGACACCTACGTGGAATTCGGTGTGGAGCTTGAGCTGCCCAGCAAAGGTTAAATTTTTTGTTTGGAGAGCACTTCTTAGTGTTGTTCCATGTCGTGCAATTCTGGCTAATAGACATATCAAGATCAAACCAAATTGTCTTGTATGTAACCAAGGACCAGAGAGTATCCATCACCTGCTATTTGAATGTCCAGTTGCGGTTCAGGTTTGGAAGCTCCTTGGAGTGTGGGATGTAATATAGAGGGGATTGGCCATGAATACAAGTGGGGAGGTTGTGTTGGATTTTCTTCTTAGTCTACCGGACGATCATATCCATGTACTAGGATTGCCTAGACTGCGAGAAATGGTGGCTACATGCTGTTGGTACATGTGGTGGGAAAGGAGAAAAATTACACATGGAGGTGATCCACAAACGGCGCCACAGATCAACCTTGATGTACGTTCCTTGGCAGAGAACTTCATAGCAACGAATTCACCACGGCCAAGAGTTTATTTGGGAGGTTGGACGAGACCAAGGACTGGATATGTCAAGCTAAATGTGGACGCGAGCTTTGATCATGACTTACTTGAAGGTTCAGTAGGTGCTGTCATTAGAGACCACAAGGGCAAATTTATAGCTGCAGCGTATGAAAAACCGGGACTCTGGTATGATGCTTTTACCATAGAGGCAATTGCAATCAGATTTGGTCTAAATCTTGCTCGTACAACTGGATGTAGCAAAGTTGAAGTGAATTCAGATAATGTGGAGGTGGTTGCAGCGCTCAGAGAAGGCTATTCATCTTCGGTAGCCAGTGCGATTTTTGATGATTGTTACTTCATGTCCTTAGACTTCAGGCATATTGTTTATGAGCATTGTTTTAGAGAGAATAATAAGGTAGCACATGAACTAGCTAGTCTAGCTAGATTCAATCCTCCTAATGTATGGATGGATGATGCCCCGTCGGCTATCATCCCCTTAATTGTATCAGATGCTACAATTGTAGCCAATTAATAAGGGAGGTTTTTATCAAAAAAATGTCCAAGAACCTCTCCATCAGCTTGGATGTCGCGCCTTCTCGCTTCGCCCTCTCCTCCTCCCACTTTTTTCCCCGTAAATTTCTTCTAATCTTCTTCAGCGGTTCTTGGGTTGGGTCGGTAGGGTCACCGATTTCTTCCTCGTTGGCCTAGGCGGCGGTCTTGGCTATGAAAAGGTTCCACTTCGTTTTCCCATTCAACTCCAACCAACAATGCATGACGATGAAGGACTTCTTCTCCAACTTCTTGTACACCACGCAAGCACGAGTAGGCTGCAAAGTGAAACATTGTCGACAATGCATATCAGTCTAGTGAGCAACAAAACAATACATTTCCGGCTAGTGATCAACAAAACTAAGCATATTTGGCTAGTGATCAACTTACTTGCTTAGTGATTTGTGCATCGCTAGGCCACCGTGCGATGAGATGCTTCAAGTGGCCGCAATACTTGGACACAACCTCTTGCATGATGTACCATCGATGGTTGAGGGACTTCCATTCATGGTTGTGGATGACCGCGTTGGAGTACGGCGTTAAATGCTTGTGTTCATAGAACCATATGTGAATGTTCCTCCAAAAGGTTGTGCCCTTTTGCTCCGTGCCATGGATCGGATCAATGCTTGTGGCCAAGCATGCATCACATAGTTGCTCGTCATCCCGCATGTTGAAGCTTTCTCTTCTACCCTCTTCTTCTTCGGATAGTTGGTTGTATCATCCGGATCATCATCCTTGCTGTCCTCCTCCTCCCCCTTCGGCTGCTGCTGTCCGACGGCCCAAAGATGTTGTTGTTGTTGCGTGCCATCGCCGGTATGGGTGTAGGATTGTTGTGTGGCCGTCTAGGTGTAGGACTGCCGTTGCTGGTAGTTGTCAGACTAGGTGGGATCCGAGTCTTCCACCTGCCCGTCCTCCTCCTACCTCGCCTTCATCGTGGATGATGTCGAGCATCTCCCTGGCCGGGTCGTCGTACGTCGTATCCCCTGCTCTAGGCATTGAAGTGAACAGGGTGCGAGCACCCATCTGCTCCCTGCCCGGACGAGCTGCTATGAAGAGTACTCGGAGAAGGGTGTGAGGAAATATGCCCTAGAGGCAATAATAAAGTTGTTATTTTATATTTCCTTATTCATGATAAATATTTATTATTCATGCTAGAATTGTATTAACTGGAAACTTGATACATGTGTGAATACATAGACAAAACACTGTGTCCCTAGTATGCCTCTACTTGACTAGCTCGTTGATCAAAGATGGTTAAGTTCCCTAGCCACAGACATGTGTTGTCATTTGATGAATGGGATCACATCATTAGTAGAATGATGTGATGGACAAGTCCCATCCGTTAGCTTAGCATAATGATCGTTCAGTTTTATTGCTACTGCTTTCTTCATGTCAAACACATATTCCTCCGACTGATTATGTAACTCCCGGACACCAGAGGAATGCCTTATGTGCTATCAAACGTCACAACATAACTGGGTGATTATAAAGATGCTCTACGGGTATCTTCGAAGGTGTTTGTTGGGTTGGCATAGATCGAGATTAGGATTTGTCACTCCGGGTATCGAATAGGTATCTCTGGGCCCTCTCGGTAATGCACATCATATGAAGCCTTGCAAGCAATGTGACTAATGAGTTAGTTGTGGGATGATGCATTACGGAACGAGTAAAGAGACTTGTCGGTAACGAGATTGAACTAGGTATGAAGATACTGACGATCAAGTCTCGGGCAAGTAACATACCGATGACAAAGGGAATAACGTATGTTGACATTACGGTTCGACCGATAAAGATCTTCGTAGAATATGTGGGAACCAATATGAGCATTCAGGTTCCGTTATTGGTTATTGACCGAAGAGGTGTCTCGTCATGTCTACATAGTTCTCGAAGGTTGTTCGGAGTTATGTGTTTTGGTGACTGAAGGTTGTTCGGTGTCCCGGATGAGATCACGGACATGAT